AATTTGCGCAGGTTTGTAAAAATTGGAGGTATGCTTTGTTTCACCCTAGTTTCTGGAAAAAAATCACATTTGCCCTTGGACAGGAAGACAGAATTGTGTGGGCTAGGTACGTAAGATTATTATTTGTGCAATGTCATGGTTCTTGAAACATTGTATACCTTTCTTATATTTTCTTCTTTTTTTTCTTTTCTCTATTTATTATAGATTTCTATCGGAAAGCTTTGGACTTAGCGTGCACGAAGCTACAATTCGTTGTGAGACATCAAATCATTCTGTTGATGAAATTGTAACTATCTTAAAGAAATTAAGCTGCAACAGACAGCTTCGAAAATTGTTCTTGGAATCTAGTAGTAGCTGTTTCGAATATGAAGATGACGAATACATTGATGGATGTTTTTCACCATTGATAAAGCCTATTATAAAAATTATTGAAACAGCTAATCGCTTAGAAGCTCTGAGTTTAGGATGTGTAGAAGATTTATCATGCAGCGCTAGCGTATTTCTAAAACCACTTCATATGAATCACGCCAAGCATTTGACAACTTTAAGCCTGGCATCTGTTAGAGATGATCCTGAGTACCACTATCGGGATTTTGGATTTGAGAATGAAATTTTGTTTTACTCATTCATCAGATTGTCTATTTTGACATTGGATTATGAGTTTGTAAATGATAGTTTGCTGAAAGCATTAAATAATGGAGTTATGGAAAGGCTTGTAATTCATTTACATGGTTGGAATGACAATTATGCAGGAACAAGTGATAATGCCTGGCAAACTTTTGTTCAAAGAAAGTGTGTAGGAGTACAATTTCTTTATTGCAATTTCATAAAAGGATATTAAAAGAATAATGTTACAAATTTTTTTCAGTCCAAAATGTGAGCTACGATTGAATCTTATACACTCCTATGTTGGCATTGAAATGTTGCATTCAGAAATACTTTGTCGTTCTATGCCTCTTACACATTTGAAAGCTCTATTTTGTGAAAGTGTCAACACCAGAGCATTACTTGTGCTATCCGGTTGGTATCATCACTGTTTAAAATCTTTGATATGGATTGATTCTATGGATCCTAAAAAAATAATACCAGAAACATGTGACCCAAGTGAGCCTGATGGGTAAATTAAGTTATTTCACTATATTGCTATTTTCTGTTTATATTCTTAATAAGTACATTTATTATTTTACTACAGCCCTGATCCATTAGTACTCATTGCATGGAAGTGTACAGAACTTGTGGAACTTGTATTCATTGGCCACAAATATTACCAGGAAAATTTGTTAGCTATTGCACGTCTACGAGGAAGTTCCCTTAAGTCATTAGTGTTTGCACAAAGAGACATTGCATCCTACAATGAGTCTTGGCACAAGGCTGAAAGCATCACACATGTAAGCTTTTATATTTAATACTGAGATTTATAAAAGCATTATTAAAGTGAAAATATCCATATTCTTTATAATATAGTGATATTATATTATATTTAATTAATATTAATTATTTTGTGCATATAGGAAATACAAGAAATAATAGGTCATCGTTGGGAACAGTTAAGTGATGCTGACTTGCCTTCAGTTGTTAAGAATCCATTTACAGGTGATAGCAGAGATGTGATCATGCCGTTGGTCCTCAGAGACCAAAAATAATTGTGAGCATGAGTTAAGAAAAAATGACTCCCCAGTAACAATCATCGATATCTCCACCTATTTCTGGGCGAGCTACAATCTCAGAAGTAAAGTTATAATGTTACATCCTTTATTTTTCTATAAGATTTGTTTTTTCAATGGGAACTATGGATGAAACATCAAACAGTGAACCTGTATAGATTCATAAAACAAAATGAATAACTAAATGGTTATATCGTCTGGAAAGGATCACACAGTTCTAATGTGTAAATAATGAGGGTAAAAAACGCACACAAGTTCTCCTGCTTTATAAAGATTTTATCAGTTTATTTATGAATATAATAAGCCATAGTTATCTATGTCTTTCTTGTGTCCATAAGGGGTAGCTAAATTAAGTATGATACACCCCACGAATGAAGTGATCTTCCCATTTATCAGAATGGAGAACAAAATGATGTATGATGATTTTTTTTCATGAAAATCCTTTTGTAATGGAGTGTATTGCTAACAGTGGTGGTCTCAAAGTGGTCAAGAGCAGCAGTATACTTGTTAATGATCGTTCCTGTCACCAATGAATACTAGAAGAAAGAACATATATATATTATATAAAAGTATAACAGTATTCTTGGTAGATACTACGAGTCAAGCATTACAAGACGATCAAGGTCTTCCTATACAGACCTTCTGTGTGACGTTCACCTGTTAATATCACAGGAGAAGTGAATACATGTAAGAAGCGAAGAGAATGCATACCGCAATGAGAGATTATCATCGTTTACGAAGGAAATGAGGAATGGAAACTACAAAACGAGAAAAGAAAAGAAATGGTAACGGGCCGATTTCATGATGTTCCAATGGAAAGCGTAACGAAATTCCACATGTATGTAAGTAGAAACTTGTTTAACAGATATTTTTCCAAGTCTATGGGAATTTAGATCAAGCGAGCGCCAAGAGCATGCAGTGTGAGAATGAATAACTAAAAAAAATAAAAAAGAATGGTGAAGACTTCGAGAGAAAGAACTAGGTATCGAGTTGCGCGAATGTTATACGAACGATGCACTCAATGAGAAGTCATTAACAGCGATCCGAGGTTATTTTTAATACCAAAACCAATCGGACGCTCTTGTACAAATATAAAAATGAATGTGTGCCGAGAAGAGTGCGGTCGATTTGGTGGTACGAATGTAAACAGTTTCGGACAATAGAGAATTCGTATCTTGCGTTAGAGAAGGGAGGAGGATCGAGCGTGATGCACTGAGAATTATGTAACCTCCATGAGTACCGTCTCTTCACCGTGCTCTTAGCGACCGCTGAGAACGAACACAAA